GGAAACATCAAAAGAAGATGGAAGGAATACAGAGTCACTGTACCAAAAAGAATTGTTCTGTGTTCATCCATTTCAGGAGGTGACATATGATCAAAAACTGATAGTATCGAAGGAAGTAGTTGAAGCTGCACTGAAGGAATTGGAGAAAAACAGGCTCCAAGAATTGACGGAATATCTATTGATATGTTTAACAAATGGATACCACACTGGAGGCAGTTATTCATCTATGCCAAGAAATTTGGAAGACAACTTACCTGGCCAACTGACTGGAAGAGATCCATATTTGTACCCATTTCAAGGAAAGGTGATTCCAGAGTGTGGAAATTATTGAACATTATCATTAATATCACATGCAAGTAAAATCTTGCTGAAGATAATTCAAAAACGGTTGCAGCAGTATATTGACAGGAAACTTCTAGAACTACAAGCTGGATTCAGAAGAGGATGTGTGAGGGATATCATTGTTGCTATCAGATGGGCCTTGGCTGAAAGCAAATACCAAAAAGATGTTTACTTGTGTTTTATTGACTATGCACTATGCAAAAGCATTCAACTGTATAGATCATAACAAATTATGGATATCCTTGAAAAGAATGAGAATTCCAGAACACTTAATTGTGCTCATGAGGAACCCATACATGGACAAGGAGGCTGTCATTTGAACAGAACAAGGGAATACTGCATGGTTTAAAATCAGGAAGGGAGTGTGCCAGGGTTGTATCCTTTCAGCACACTTATTCAATGTGTATGCTGAACAAATAATCTGAGAAGCTGGACTATATGAAGAAGAATGTGGCATCAGGATTGGAGGAAGACTCATTAACAACCTTGCTTGCTGGAAGTGAAGGTGACTTGAAGCACTTACTGATGAAGAGTAAAGCTTACAGTCTTGCAGTATGGATTACACCTTGTGCTGTTAAGTTTGTGTGTCAACTTGGTTAGGCCTGGTTGGATGGCTGGGCAGCTGGATGTAGTAGTCCCCATGATGAGACTGGTCATCAACTCCATGGTGGAATCTACTGTGAGCAGCTGAGTAGCTGCCTTAGGGCTGTGGTCTTCTTCCTGCATATAAGGAGAAGCCTTGGGGAACAGTCTCTAGTTAAGGCACAATTGGACCCTGCATGTAGCCATGTCGTTGCTCAGCAGCCTGCCACATTCTGCCAACCTTGGGACTTACAATGGATTTAAATTAATGGCCTGCCGTGTGGTTTGGTAATATTGAGACTGTGGCTTTTTACTTGTCAACCTTGGGCTTATCAGTCTCAGCAGCCAGCAGCTGTCTGAGTGAAGAAATGCTTCTAGTTCCAGTGGGTCGGGAGCAGGAGGCAGAGGGGACCCCAAGGTTGAGGGCTTTCACCCAGCCCCTAGAGCCTAGCACTTTGAACTTGGACTTAAAGCCTCCAAACTGTAACAGAATAAACTCCTGTTAAGGCCATCCCATTTGTGGTATATTCTTGACAAACCAGCACTAGGTAACCAAGACAACCTCAACATAAAGACAATGAAAAATCCTCACAACTGGACTAATAATAAGCAGCATCACGATAAATGGAGAAAAGATTGAAGTTGTTAAAGATTTCATATTACTTGGTTCCACAATCAACATAAATGGCAGCAGCAGTCGAGAAATCAATGTATTAAACTGGGCAAATCTGCTGTAAAAGACCTCATTAAAGTGCTGAAGAGCAAAGTTGTCTCTTTGAAGACTAAGGTGTGCCTAAGCCAAAGGGGTGTTCTCAATTGCCTCATATGCATGTGAAAGGTGGATAATGAGTAAGGAAGACCAAAGAAGAATTGATGCTTTTGAGTTGTGGCATCGATGGAGAATATTCAAAGTCCCATGAACTGCCAGAACTAACAAATATGTCCTGGAACAAGTGCAGCTGGAATGCTCCTTGGAAGTGAGAATGGCCAGACTTCATTTCACCTAGCTTGGTCATGTTGTCAGAAGGCGCCATTCCCTGGGGAAGGATACCATGCTTGATAAACTGGAGGGTCAGCGGAAAAGGGGAGGACCATTAATGAATAGATTGACACAGTGGCTGAAACAATGGGCTCTAGTAAGGACTGAGACTGGCAGTGTTTCGTTGTTGTACATAGGGTCACTATGAGTCACAGCTAACTCAATGGCACCTAACAACTACTATATTTACGGTTGACTTTTTATACTGACCTTATATCCTGCAGCCCTACTGAACTCATTAGTTGTAATGGTCTATAGCAGTGGGTTCTTTAGAATTTTCTATATACAAGTAATACTGTCACCTGCAGCATTACTCTTTCCCTTTCCAGTCCAGATGCCTTTTATTTCATTTTCTTGCCCAATTGTCCTGCCTAGATTCTTTAATATAATGTTGAATAGAAGTGGCGAGAGCAAACATTCTTGTTTCTGACCTTACGGTGAGCATCGTCTTTCACCATTAAGTACAATGTTAGTTGTTTTTTTATAGATGCCTTTTATTAAGTTGACAGAGTTCTTTCTATTCCTAGTTTAATGTTTCTGTCACGGAGTGTTGAATTTTGTCAAATACTTTTTGTCTATTGAAATGATCACATGGATTTTGTTTAGTCTATTGAAAATTACACCAATCTTGTGTTCTTGGTGGTCACTTATCCCTTGGGCCTGTTTTCACCATCTGGTACTGGGACCCATGAGATGGTCAGGTGTGGTGATGGCCTCTGAACAGAGTGGGCCCTATGGAGGCCCAGACCCATCTTTCTTGGTTTTGGGGTAGGCTGTTTATTTCTTCAATGCAGAAGCCCCTGTGGTTTGCCCTCAGGAAACCTGCCACATCAGAGAACCTAGCCAAGACCAGGAGCCAGAACTTCTTTGGAAATTTATTTTCTGGAAAATAATAGGAGGGTAGGTCATGGTGTCCCATATCACTTAGGCCAGGCCGTGACAAATGGGCAGGAAGGAGACTCATCAGCACATGAGAGAATAAAAGCGTGTTCAAACAGCGCAGGGGGCCAGCACTCTGAGGCCTTGAGAATGAGTGGGGAGGGATCCCCTCCAGCACTATGCCACATGGTTCCCAGGTATGTGGGGATTGGCACAGTGACACAGCTATAGCAGAAGGCCAGGAGAGGCCACTAGTGCCACATGAGGCTTCACCTCAGGGTGACCAAAAGGCTGTTTCCATGAACTAGTTTGCTGGCATCTCAACCTCTTCAAATGCAGAAAATAGTCCAATGTCTCCCCCTGAGCCTGATCCACAAGCAGCACCAGTGCTCACTCCCTGGCTGAGCTGCTCCAGGACCTATGACTCTACAGTCCCTCTCAGGCCAACACGGGCAAGAAAAACTGTGCACATGGTTTTTTAAGCTCACAAAAACAAGAGACCCCACAAAACTCCAAATCACCACAGTACATTTATTTGAGGGAAAAAGAGTCAAATCTTATTATGAATTGTTAAACTGGATAGAACCAGAGACACTGATCACCACGACTTCTGGGTATTCATGACCGCACAGAGGACCAGATCCTGCATGTGTAAGTGTCACCAATAAAGGACGAGCATTAAACGAGGGGGTCACGTTCTGTGTAGTTACATGATTTCCCATTCAAAGAAGGTGCTGCCCTCCTATCAGAAAAGTAGTGTTGAGAAAACAAAAGGCAGAACCTAGCCTCCTAGCAAAGGCCTAGACACAATGGTTGCCTTGTGAGAGGGGAGCACGCCCTATGTACACAAAGGGAGTGAAGCTCCCAGCCGGGATGCAGGATGAGTGCCAGGGCTGACTCGGGTGTGAGTGTGTGCGTGGGGTGATCTGACCCTGTTCGCCTTTCCCCACCCAACCTGGGCCTCCATGAGCTGTTCTCTGCGTTCTTGCACCAGGCAGACTTGGCAATTCTGAAAAGTAAGGGGGAGTCTGCCCCAATTCCCCAACCCCAGCCCGCCTTCTGCAGGTTTAACAGGTGACCCCATCCACTAGGCACAGCCCCACCCCCACCTCTGGACAGACACGTGGCAAATATGGAAACTGAAGCCCAGTTGGGGTGGAGCACATCTAGGTGGCGTTGGGTTGGAGTTGTCTTATCTTGCAGGTGCCCCAAGATGAGCAGGCCTCACCCACGTGGCCAGGCTGAGATGGCATGTTTTTTTTTTAGAGTGATTCAGGTTACTCGAGGGCAAAGCACGATCCTGATGACACCCGGCGGAAAAGCAGGCTGGAGCCGCGGAAGAGCTGGCCCTAGAGTGGAAGGAATAGTGGGGCTGGTGAAAGGGGAGCCTGTGCTTCTTCGTTCCTCCTCAGAGGATCCAGGAGCTCAGAGACCCTAGGGCAGGTGGGGCTGTGGGCTTGCATCCTAGAGGCACATCTGCTTTGTGCGACAAGTCTACTCAGTGTCCAGTGTCAATGAAGCTACTCGATGGGAAATACTGAAGAGTGGACTCACTGTCCTTCTGGCTTCAGGGCCCGAGTGATCTGGGACTCCTCCAGCCCCACTGGAGAACGTGATGTATACAGAATTGGTCCAAGTCACTGGGAGAAACTATGACTGACTCCTACCTGCCTCCCTCCTGCTCTCCCATCTACCCTCTTCTTACCAGTGAGGCCAGCCAGCTTGCTGGGTCCTTCCTAGGCCACTGCCCCATTAGACTGTGAGGCAAACCAAAGTCAAGAAAGGACAATGATCTACCCTAGGCCAGAAGCCTCGAACTCTGACCTCTGGGCCCAAGAGCTACCACCAGCAGGAAGGTAATTTGGCACAGAACCCAAGAACCCAAGACTGGCACCCATGTTAGGCTCACCGTGTGCTCAGCTCAACCCAAAGGCTCTCCTGGACACCCAGAATGTCCTGTAGGAGTATGGGTTGGTCTCCAACACACCCACTGTCCTAACAACCCAGAGGATTCAGCTGAACTAGTCTCAGACCTTGCATTTGCAGCCAAGTTCTTGGGCTTTACTACCTACTACATGGGACAGAACCCTCTTACACTGTTCTAAGACTCAAACAAGAGGAGACTCTGTCTGATGCATAATGTGTAAGTGAACTCAGATTTAACCATCCCAAATCCTTTCTAAAATAAGGTTAGGGTGGACATCTGATTACCTTGAATCATCAATCCTCACTCTCTTTACCCACTCTACTTGCACTATGACAGATTTCATGACAACCCTGTATCTTTGTATTCATTGAAGAGTCCACAACACCCTTTCATCTGATCCACATGGTGAAAGAGCAGGAAAAGCATCCTCCCTCCAAAACTCACTTACCTGCACACTCAGGTACTTCCAGCAGTGGATCCAGGATTTGAACACTGGGGAGTACGGGGGGAGCCCAGCCTGCAGCCTGCATAGGAAGGAGAGTATACATGAGACCGGAGGACTGCGAGTGACGGATCAGCCAAGGCAAAGGAGGCCTCAGAAAGGATTGGCTTGGAGCTGCCACCCACCCACATCCTGAAACAAAAGATTTGACCCAAAGGGAGCTGGTGCATCCCAGAGGAAGTTAGGGTGCCTGGTGGGTGGAGCCCACATACAGAATGAGTTGGAGAGGAGCAGAACCTTAGAAAGGCTCACCTTGCAAGGTACCAAATGAGGGGGGCACACACCTACCCGCAGTTGTTCACAGCCATGAGATCACCAACCAGCAGGAAGGGGTAGGTCAGCATGCTTACTGCAATCTGAAACCAGAGAGGCCTGAGTACCACTGAGTATCACCCACCACCACCACCAGCCCTCAACCTGGGCCTAAGGAGCAGGGACACACTGGGCCAGCACCCTATACCTAGGGTTGCCTCCACCTACCACCAAAGCTGGCCTCCTAAGCCCCACGTAGACCAACAGGGCAGTGGGAAGGGCAGCTGGCTTGACTTACCCCCATCACAAACTTAGTGTAGCTCCGGATGGCCAGGGCCTGGCTGAACTGAAAAGACAGAAAAGGAAGACCTGTTTACCACAGGCACCTCAGAACGAAGACTGCAAGTATGAGGGCCTAGCCCTGCCCTGCTCAGCCTATGGGCCCCTTCACCTCCCCTCCAGACTGGCCTCACACCCCCTGTGCAGTCAGCTCCCCACAGTCATGCCACACACCCTGTGCTCCTTCTTAGGGCCTGCCAGTGGGTTCCAGGGCCATGTAGTCAGAGCCATTAGAAGACTGGGGAGGCAGGACTTGGATAATGGGACTAGCTCGAGGACCCAGCTGGGGATGATCAGGGAGAGGAGTAAGGAGACCAGGTAAGCACCATCACTGACTGCTGGCCAGCATGTAACCACCCCAGACTGGAATGCAGGGGTTTGGCTGGGGGTCTGCCTTAATCAATGCCCAGTGCAGGCAAAATCAATGCTCAGTGAAGGAAAAGACATACACACAACATTAACTACCCAGAGGACAGAATCATGGCCCTGTGGCTTCCTGCTCTCCCCTACCTCACCAAGCTCTTCCCCCACTCAGAAGCCAACTCCTGAAATCTGTTTTGCCTAGGAAAGAGCCCCTGACTAAGAACAGTGACTGCCCACTCCTCAACTTCCTATGCAAGGGGCCATTCCACCAGAGGGATCTGCCCTGTACTTCCTAGGTGGAGGTTTGCTAGGCTGTCTGCTTGAATGGCTTTGGCAGGCCAGGCAGCCTGTCTAAGTTTCAACCCACACACAAAGAAAGCACTTGAAAAATGTTTTAAATGAAGCTGTTGGCTGCTCTTAGTGCTGACGTCAGTTCAGCAGCCCCTGGGCAGATACCTCCCCACCTAGACCATAGGGAACAGTCAGCTGTGATCACTACGCCCGCCCCAGACAACTCAGCTGTGTTGAGTGAGACAGCAACAACTCACCATCCACAAGACTCCTGACAGAGGGCAGAGCAAGGACATGTGGTGGCAGATGGGGCAGGAGCCACTTTAAAAATCTGTTTACGCTGCAAGGCCAGTAAATCACCTATCTAAGCAAACTGTTTCCCTGGGAGCAGAGGCTCTCAGCTGGTGTGGGGCATTTCTCACCACACAGACACAGGCCCAGACAGACACATGTGGACAATGACACCCCCCCACCTTCCTGGGGTTGGCATCACCAATGTAAGAATGTCTGGCTACCAGGAATCCTCCAGTCACCTTCCTAACCCTTATCTTGATTGTGTGTGTCAACCCATCAGGTCCCTGATGCCTTTCTTGAACAAGCACCTTTTAAAAGGACCAGGCCCTCCCTGTGCCTGGTCCAAGCTGCTGAAGGGGCTATACAGACTTTCACATAAAAGTGGGGTGACCCTAGAGTGCATACTTCCTAGACAATCTGCAAAGAACTCAAGGAGAGAAGCTGAGTTCCAGCAGAGTGACTGTGGGTAACCCCTTTAATCTCTGACTCTTAGTTTCTGGATCTGTCAAATAGGGACATTTTACCTGCCCATTCCCTTCATCACCAGGGTGCTGTGAGGATCAAATACCATAATGTTCACAAAAGGGTTTTGAAAAGCATGAAACATTAAAACAAAAGATGAAAGACTGTTGTTATTAGCTGGTCCATCTCCTGATCCCTAGTTAGTCACTGTCTTAAACTAGTCTTGGATCAGCTGGGGTCTTAGGGACGGGTATTCTATAAACTCCTCTCAGGTCTGGTTACCAATCTGGAATCTCATCTCTCCTATCCTGTCTCTCCCCAAGACAAAGGTAACTCTGGGGTGCTCAAATGCCTCTTTTCAGACCACTTCCCAGGGTCCTCTCTAGCCCCCAGCCCCTGCTGCTTAGAATCCCAAAGTCTTCAAGAGTCTGCCCCAGACCCTGGGTGTCAGCAGAACATGGAAAGATGGACAAGTCCTTGTTCCAACCAACCTGGGAACCTGGATTCTGGTCGTTTCCCAGCCCCCCTGGGGTGTCACTCACGCTGTCATCCACCAGGTAGGCATTGATGAAATGGGCTAGCAGGTTACAGCCCCACAAGAAAACCACATCTCCCAGGAGGTGAGGGATTAAGCCACTAAAAAACAAGGTGAGCAAGGATAAGGAGGCAAGGGAGAACACTTCCTGGGGGCTCCACACCTAGGCTGCAGAAGGGCCTGCTGGGCCAAGCTCAACACTTCAGCAGATCCAAGGACAGAGCCTCAGGATGGAAGCCTTCAAGCATGTGGGCGGCTCAGTCCTGTCCATACCGGCAGGGTACAGGGTTCCTTCTCCCATGGGGAGGTGTCAGTGTATGGTCACACAAACGGTTTTTGAATCCTAGAAGCCAGGCATTAAGATGTGGACGATGCCAAATCTGGGGTTTGCATGAATGCCTACATGTTGATAGTTTTTTCCTGGCCTCTTTACCTAACCACCTCTCATGAAGCACTTTGGTCAATTCATGTCTTCTCCTCACCCCTGAAACGTTCCATCAAAGACATCCTGTGCAAGTGCTTGCAAGGGGGGTTGACTTGTAAAAGGATGGCCTTTAAATAGCTCAGTGAAGGGATATGGAAGGTTCCCCAGGATACATTGCTGAGGGCAAAAGCCAGTCTGGATCAGTGGGTACCATGTGCTACTTGTGTTTATTTGCTTGTTTAGGTGTGGAGTGCCTTGGCAGGATCCTTAGGAGATGACACTGTCTATCTTCTGGGAGGGGAAACAGAATTGTTCTTGGATTATGCGGTGTAGTAAATTACTTAGTGTGGCTTTTCTACCCATAAGTCTTTGTAAACTCCAAGGTGGGATTTTCTATGAGCAACTGAGGAGCTCCTGATTGCTGAAGGTGTCCACCTGGAGTATTTCTGTTGGGAGTGGCACAAAACAATGTTCTGGGAGGTTCCCACTCTCTCTCAGGTGCTTAGAGTTCCGATGCTATGACTGGCTAGTTTGACCACCCTGCTGGGCTCAAAAGGAGGCCTCCTAGAGGCAGAACTCTCTCTGACTGCTGGTTGAGGAAGACGTACTGCTGAAAGAGACACGGGCTCCTGAGACATACGTTGCTGGGAAAGAGACACAAGAGACACGCATCGCTGAGTGAGACACCGAGGGACCAGCACTGCTGGGAAAGAGACTGTGAAAGACTGTTGGCTGAGGGACGGTGGGCTGGGAGAGAGACTGAGCATTTTTTTTTTTCTTCCGGAACTTGAATTGTAGCCTGTGGTGCTTCCCTAATAAACCCCATAATCTGTGAGCTCTGTGTGGCCACTGCAGTGAATTATCGAACCCAGGAGAGAGGTGGTGGGTGCTTTGGGAGGAACGGTTGGAGAAAGGGCTGGAGGGAGGCAGTATGTCTAGCCTTGTAGGAATAGGCCTTGGGTTACTACTGGTAATCCTGTCTTCCTATTGTGGGATTAGAGGAGGTCAGAACATGTGGCCTCTGTGCCCTTTTTTGCAGATTATTATAAATTGTAATACGTAATTTCTGAAAAGTTCAAAGGAATGTATGTAACACACGTTATGAGGGATATTAATAAAATGAACCTCCATGATACATTTCCAATCCTGTTTCCATTTGTGCTCAGATTGACTTTAGTGCCTTTAACATGTACGTGTATCACTTGTCTCTCAAAAACATAGCAAAAGGGGGGGGGGCACCCCAATGGGTAAGCTTCTAATGTGTGGGGCACCTATTAACACACCAAAATAGAATTCTATCATGTGAAAAATGTCACAGGTGGGGAGCTGCAGTGTTTAAAATCTAACATACCACATATAGACACACAGGCAGATATTTATTCATACGTAGTTATACGTAGAGAGTCCTGGTGGTGCAATGGTTAAGCGTTTTGTTAGTGGTGTGAACTTACTCAGTGGCTCTGTGGAAGAAAAGACCTGGCCATCTGCTCCTATAAAGTTTACACCCTAGGAAACTCTATGGGGCAGTTCTACTCTGTCCTATAGTGTTGATATGAGTTGAAATTGACTCTGACAGCACAAAACGCTGGGTTGCAGTAGGTCCTTGGTCATGCAAACAGCTTGCGCTTGACTACTAACCTACAGGTTGGAGGTTCAAACCCATTCAGCAGCACCATGCGAGAAAGAACTGGCAATCTGCTCTCCTAAAGATTACAGCCTAGAAAACCAAATAGGACAGTTCTACTGTCACATTAGGTCCCTAAGAGTCAAAAATCAACTCCACGATACCCAACCACATTTTGTATGTGTACATAATATATGTGTGTGTGTGCTTATATACATATAAATCAGGGTTTCTCAACCTTTGCATGGATATGTTGGGCTAGGTAATTGTTGTTGGGGCATTGTAGGATGCCCTGTGCATTGTAGGACATTCACAGCATCCCTGGTTTCTACCTAACAGATGCCAGCAGCATCCTCCAAACCTGAGCTGTGACAACCAAAAACGTCTCCAAGCATTACCAAATGTCCCCTGGTGGACAAAATCACCACTCAGAGAACTACTATAGGCACAAATAAACACATATAGATTTCTTGGCTAAATGTGGTATCATAAATAAAAACATCTGGCAAACTGTAAACCACAATATAAATATTAGCTAGGATGGAGCCCAATATCTACTGTACTATGCACCTAACACCATGTATATGTCACTAAACTAGATTTGAAAAGGGCAAAACAAAAAACACGCTCATCAAGCACAGCTTCTGGGTTCTGGTTAAACACAGACATTTAAACAGTATTCTCTCCACGTGGAGTTAAGTTGGATGAGAGACAACAAGGACCGCAGGGGTCTGTGGCCACCAGGAGACCATACACCCTGTCTGTGGGAGCAGCCCCTTGTCCCCTGCCAATGGTTACTCTGCAGAAACACAGCAGGGCCAGACTTTCTTCTGACTTTGCAAAAGAAACTGGAAGTATGGATTTTTGTGTGAAGGATCTGAAATGTTAACAACTAATATGTCAGAAACAGGATGAAAGTCCCTCAGTGCAAGCCACAGATTTTCAGTCCGTATTTAGCAGTAAAACCAAAGGTTACGAGATACCTCAGCTCACAAAGACCAGCCTCACGGCCACTCTAGCCCTGGAGTGAATGGACCAGGCCTGATGAGGCCAGTCAGTCCATCTCTCCAGTGTGCTGGACAAAGAGCATCAATTTTATGAAAGCCATGACCTGAAAAAGTTGGGTGGCTTCAGTCCCAATGATCTGTAGCTGGGGCATGCTATGGAGCACTATGGACTGGACAGTGGCTGCTTGGCCTGGGGCTGCCACCCTTCAGAGCCCTGTGGTTAGTCTGAGACCAGCAGCTGTGACCTGGGAGGCTGAGAGTATACCTGTTAGTAAGGCTATGCCCAGTATCAGGGGTGTTGGGGGTATAAACTCACGTACACAAAGAATCCCAGCAGCCCCTCCTCTTTGAAAATCTTCCCAATGGAACTCAGCACACCACTGTGAAGAAAGGAAGAAGGGAACAAAAGGTCACCTGGATGCCCCCCAATCCCAGGACTGGTCAGGATGAGGAAGGGAGGGGAGATTCTGTGACCAGGAAGAATTCATATGGAGAAGAACAGAGAGCTCTTATTCTGCATTAGGGAGTTCACGGAGACTGGGGGAAACCCAAGAAGCCTGGGGCAGAACACCTAGCAGTTCTCTACTGGCATTTTCTGTCGGGTTTTAGGAAGGAGCCTCCCAGCTGGAGCTGGCGCACAGGAGGCAGGCCTTCTCCCACCTGGTTGAAGCACTTATCTGTGGCTAAACAACCTTTCAGCAGAGAAGCATGTGTGCCAAAAGAGGAAGAGGTGGTGAGTGATGACAACCACCTTCCCAGAGGGCAGACAAAGCACAGGCCCCTGCAACATGAGGCCCGGAATCAGGCCTCCCAGATGCACCTAGGAAAAGGCATCTGGCCTCCTCAGCCAGTTAGAGACTCAGCAGGAGGCTGTGCACCATCCTAGGTGTGAAATGCAGAGGCGGCTCAATGTCAACCTCTGTGACCTACGGCTGGAACTGTCAACTGGCCTGGACTAGGCGGAAGGGATGATCTAGGGGAGAGAGAGTGGAGCCAAAGCCGCTAGGTCCTGAGGTGCCTCAGCTCTGCCAAGCCCTACCAGGTATCTTCTCAAAACTGTGGTTCAGCTTTAATGGGGCTCTGAGCCAGATCTATGCCTCCCGGTCTCATGTACCAACCTCACATTTCAATCTGGGGAAATGGGCCAATTTCCTGTTAGTGAACCCAAAATGAGGAGCAGATGAGTTTCCCAGGGGTGGGGGTGGGGCCCACAGGATAGCTGCATAAAACAACTGAACCCAGGAAATGAGACTCTTAAAGGAAGGGGTAACAGAGGTATGTCCTCCTGCCACATGCCTCCAGGACCCCTTCTGTCCTATACAGAGCCTCAGACACATGTATGCCGCCACAGCACCCAGCTCAGTGTTGGGTACAGTAGATGCCAGGGGAGTGTTTGGTAAACAACTGAAGGGATGAGCCCCAAACCCATGGGGAGAATTAGCCCCTCAGCAGTGGATGAAAAGAACTACAAGCTAGGTTCTATGACAGCCTCCAGAAATCATTAGAACATAACCTAAGGGAATCCAGGAGGGGGCTAGCTCAGTCCTAGGACCCCTCTGAAAGGTGAGTCAGCTCCGGTAGCAGGAATCCTAATTTAATTAATCACCTCTCATCCCCATCCTGACCCAGGGCAGCTAGGTTCATCCAGGGTGGTCCCTGATAAGAGATGGAGAAGAGAAAGTACCCCTGGACTTCAAAAGCCACTAACCTATTCTTCTGAAGTGCGGCAGACAGAGCCAGGTCAGGAGAGGTGCTGTGACCGACCCCAACACGGCCCATCCTTGCCAACTATGATGGAAATTAGGCCACTCTTCCCATCCCCAAGAGGAATTACCCACCTGTACTTGGCCTCCCGTCCCACAAACTGGACCATGCAGCGCATTGAGATGACTGAGGGGAAAGAAAACACATGGGGTGATGTGGTGAGCTGAGCCCATGACACCCAGCCAGGGGGTGCCCGGCCCAGAGTGGCCACTGCACAGATGGGACCCAGCCAAACTGAGGAGGGAAGGAGGGCTGCTGGGATTCCCTGTCATATCCCACAACCATACCATTCCTTTCTTCTGCCTGGATAGAGGTCAGGTTCCCTTCAGCTGGGGATCCTGGCCAATCTTTCCTCATGGTGGTTCCAGTGGACTACCGCCACCCTCATCCCATTGCCACTTCCCAGTACTGCTGCTTACGTATAGTTCACAAGAAATCACCCCCACCCCACCCCATTACTCTCGCCCTCTGGATGCAGGCTCCCATAGGGTGCTCACCGTGCAGGGGGTGGGCCAGCATGCGGGACACGCATTGCATCATCATCTCGTAGGAGGTCTGGAACAGAACAGAGGGTGGGGAGTTGGGAAAAACTGGGCTCCCATGTGGGGTCGGTCTGCCAAGGACAGCAGTACCTTTCTGTTCACTCCTAGTTCCCTGTACCTGGAGGGCTGCTGGGGCCTGGGTTAGGCCCAAGAGTGGCTGAGAAGGCATTCTGGTCCTCCCTGCAGTGTCCAAGCTTGGGGCTCTTCCACCTACCATGCTCCCACCCACGCACAAGGACCCAAGTGTGTCAATCTGCAATGAGCAACCTGCCTCAGGGATTAGATATCATTAGACTTCCCACCAAAGGCTACCCCTTCATCAGTCCTAGGCACCCACCTCCTTAACTACTTTCTTCAGAGAAGTCTTCATGTCATCCTTGTTGGAAACCTGCTCAATTTCATCTGGAGGGAAAACCTGGGATACAAAAAAGTGGCCAAAAGCAGAGTACAGCTAAGCTTCATAAAGACAACTCTTCAGAGAAACAGATGGCAGGAACCAGCTGCTGCTATTTTCTCTGCAGTGCCCATTTGCTGGGCCCGCCTCCCACCCCTGGAGGCAGCTGGAGCTGGGGGAGGGGCACAGGAAGAGGAGACAGCCACTGTCTTGTGTCACAGCTGTGGGGAAAGGGGAGTAGTGGAGGTCTTGCTCGCCCAGGTGAGGAGGCTCTAGGTTTGGTCACGGGGGTTGGGAGCCTAGCTATGGTGCTGGGTGGCACCCGGACCAATTTCAGAGGAAAAGCAGGACCAGTGCCCATGTGCTGTCTCCTGAGGGCGCTGAGGGGCTTGGAGGACTGTAGGTGACTACTGTGGCTTCACCCTTGGCTCACCTTCTTCATGCTGCCCCGGGTCATAGTGGAGAGGGCGTTGGACATCAGCCGGGGGCTCAGGCCTCTGAACAGCCCTATCTTCCCATCCACTTGCACAATGTACTTGGCTATAAGAAAGCAGAGGCGGCAGCGTCAGGCCCAGCCCAGGCGCTCCCACTCCTGGATCAGCTACACACCCAAACCAGATGTGACACAGCTTATCCCTCAAGTAAATGCTTCAGTCATGGACAGGAACAGTTGTCCAGGGTCCTGACACTAATCAGGAACCAACCCCCAAATGTCCTTTCTAGCCCTTATTTCTTTTTAGAAAATCTTCAAAACATGTTTTTCACAAATTCATACTTTTTGTTTTTTTTTCAGCTCTGAAAATTCTACTCGACAAACTCAGCTATGTTTTTTAATTCAGCAACTTAAGTGCTGCCCTCCAGAAATGAATTTTGTTGCTCGTAAAAAGTGTTCTCAGAGAACACAGTGACGTTTTCACCACAGGCAATGGTGTAGTTTTCAGCATAAGGTAGGGAAAAAGGAAAAGGCCTTCCAGAAGACAGACTCCGGAGTGTCCCAGACACTCCTGCGCAATTCAGGTGGCCCTTCCCTGCAGGTCTACAACTACTGAACACACCTGGTGAAGGTGGTCCCCACTCTGCAAGGTGCTGTGCCCAAGACACTATGTGGCATCTGCTGGATTTACGGATCAAAGGGGGATGGGGGAGGCTCTGGAAAAGTACACCAATGAACTACTCTACAGAAAAAACTTAAGCATGAAGGAACCTAGACCTCACCTGTGTGAGTCAGTGTTTTTTTATGACTCCAAACCTGCTGCCACTGTTTCCTATAGGGTTAGGAAAGCAGACTGCTACATCTTCCCACCATAGAGTGGCTGGTGGGTGCGAACTGTTGACCTTTAGGTTAGCAGCTGAGCACTTAACCAGTGTGCTACCGGGGCTCCTTGTTTTTTCATCAGAGACTCTAAAAAAAATACCTTTTTTAATGTTTCATTGTTTTATTTAATATCAAGTTTTTAACCATATTCAAAAAACTGCTGCACTTTTATAAACCCACATACCTGGAAGCAGAGGTGTATCTAGGGTATGGCAGGTATAGCCCTGGGCGCAGACTGGGGTGTGTGTGGCAGTGCTAATGAGCAGTTTCTATTCAACAATTCAACACTGCAGTTTCCACCACCAGCTGTGAGGGACCATTCAGCAATTTAAAACTAATTGTCAGAGATGCTGTTTTCCATAGATACGCCTCTGGTTGGAAGCTAGCAGAACATTCTCTCAGGCAACGTGTTCCCCTTTCAGACTTATGAATCTAGCTATCTAGCTCCACCCAGTGGCACGAACCAGCAAATACGCCCTTTTCTCTGGCAACCTGCCTTCCAACCCAGCAATATGTCACTGCTTTCACTGGGCTTCCAGAGCACCTGTTACCTGTAGGTTTGGTTTCCTGAGGAGGGGGTGGGGCTAGAAAGAGGAGAGTAGGAGGGGAGAGGCCACTGGGCAACGTGGCAGTGTGTCCTGTGTCACAGGGTGAACAGGCAGAAAGCAGCTATATTTTGGGGGAGGGGAGCCCTAGTCACCCAGAAGGTACAGGAGCAAAAGGGAGAGCTCTTGGAGATAATAGCCTCGCAGTGTCATCCGGACCAAAACATTTCACTTTTTCTACCTTTAATAAGCCCTACTTCTCCTTTCAAAGATGGATAAGGAGTAAGCAAGAGCAGAAAAAGGTACTCCAGATGCTGCAGAGGCTGGCCAGGGGCTCCTTCCTATCATTCCAGGGTCTTTCCTCAGTCCTTAGAAAACCCTGTAAAGGAAAGGCAAGTTCTTTCCTTTACACCAAACAATGTCACAACTGTGTGGTGCTTTCTGCCATGATATGGGAGGAGGGGTTAATATCCAGATTGCTTCATTCTGTGAGCCTATAGGCCAGGCAGGTACCATGCCCGGAACTACCCAACGGGCATCTGCTTGCAACATCTAGACCAAACCAATAGTTATAGAAATAGGGGCCGGCAAGGGGAAGTACCTCAGAATTCTGCTCATCTTTGTGAGGGGCAGAAAAATGAGTGTCAAGACCCCCCTCTTGCGAGTCCTTTAGGGAACAGCTGTGTAGTACAGATGAGGACAATCCAGGTGATAACTGCCAGTCTCTTGTAACACAGCACACATGCCATATCCCCAGAAATCGCAATGACGGGCTAGCAGCCCTTCAGCCTGACTTCCCACAACTCCCGTGTTGTCTTTGTATGCTTGCTTCAATTTATAGGCAAGGGGTGCTTTCCTGATTCTGTGACTTCCCCTCACCTACACTGAAACTTTTAAAATAAAACCAAACACAAATACATTTCCCACAAAATGTTATGTTCTGTCTGGTTCCAGACTCTGGACTCCATAACACAGAGACAAAACAAAGAGAAATCGGCCGTCTGATCCTGCCAACAGTTAGTATGTGAAATTTAAAAGAAAAAAAGATGACATGAAGTGAAACTCCCCAAGAAAGATTTTCAGAGAACATTCTAAACTGATCAAACAGGGAAGAACAGAGGTAGGGGAAGCACATGGTGACAGCCTGGAATGGAACTCTGGCCATGAACATGGAAAGTTCATGGTTAAACACCATGATGATCCAGTGAGGGTGAGGTCAGAAGAGGGGCAGAGATGGTGGTGCGTGTCTCAGTTATCTAGTGCTGCTATGACAGAAATCCCACCAATGAGAGGCTTTAACAGACAGAAATTTATTTGTTCAGTTAGGAGGCTAGAAGTCCAAATTCAAAGAACTGGCTCTAGGGCAAGGCTTTCTCTCTGTTGGCTCTGGAGGAAAGTCCTTGCCTTTCTGAGCTCGGTGATCTTTATGTGGCTTGGCATCTCTCCTCCCTACTCTCTGCTTCTCACATGCCAGTTTAAACTCTTTTATATCTCAAAAGTGACTGACTCAAAACCCACCCTATACAAATCTTAACTTGTTAACATAGCAAAGAACTTATTCCCAAATGGGATTATAACCACAGGCACAGAGTTTAGGATTTACAACACATACTTCTGAGGGGCACAATTCAGTCCATACAGTGGGTATGAAAAGGACTTGGCCATCTGGCACCCAGGGACCAGAGGACAAGTGGCAGAGGCAGAGGGTGGGCTTTGCTGACATTGGGAAAGCACTACTGTGGTGGGCTTCTTGGTAGAGAGGCCTCCAGACCAGCAGAGTGGATAGAGCAGGGAGCTGTACAAAGGGCTTAGGTGTGCAGAGCTGACCTTCCTCTGCAGACAAGGGCAGCCTAAGTGGAGTAGTCAAGTGGCCCGACGAAGTGCCCATAGCTCACCAGGGGCAAACCAGAGGAGTGGGTGCCTTGGCTTCTGGTGTGGTGCCCTTTCTTTCACACAGCACCTTTTCTTTAATACATACTGTTCTAGAACCAGTGGATAGAGATGCTGGAGTGAACAGGTGCTGCCGCCTGGGGATAAAGGGGACAGGACACCCTGGTGGGACCCAAGAGAAGAACCAGGAAGAGAGCAGGAAAGCTGGGCAAAGGGCCAGACTGCTTAGAGGGCAAAAGGAAAACCACCCACACCCCTGCTTATAGACACAACTTAGGGAGATACGGACCTGTGTTCTGGACTGGCCCCTCTCTCAGGCACCTGTCTGTCCCCTCCTGCTGCTGGGCTGACAGCTGTAGGTAAGTAGGGAAGCTGGGCCAAAACTGTATTGTTCATCTCCTCCCACCCTGACACCCTGCTGCCTCTGTTATTTTTAAACTCCTTTCTCCTCGGCCAGCTCCGACTTCGAGTGGCCATGCTGACTGGCCGTGTCCCCAGGGTCAGTGGCACTTGCTACCCACTTGATGCTTCTTTTCATGTCAGTGTGGGCTTTCCTGCCTGGGACGCACACTCACCATAGGTGAAGAAGCTCGGCAGGTAGAGGACCTTTCTCCCCAGCACATTGGTCCCAATGGTGGGGGGCATCGGCTCATGACCCACCTTTAGAATTAACAAATATAAAAGGTCAGATTCCACTGATACTTGTACCTCGCTGCTTCCCATCTTTCCCAGGTCTCTATCTAGCTCTTCTCTCACAAATTCTAATGCCATCCTTATTAATTTTCCCCCATCAAAACATACCAGAAATTTTCTCAGGGTCTTTAACAATCAGTATTGTGTCATCTCCTGATAAACAGATTGCCTAGTCCCAGATACCACCCCCACCATGATCCAAGTCACTACTGTTCCCCAACATTCTTGCCTTCAAATCCCATATACCCGAAGTTCAGAATGCCCCACTGTATGTCCTTCAAAACCCTCTCCGACCTCAGGGTAAATCTTGGTTCATTCTTACGCTTAGGTTATAAACTTCATTCTAACTGAATTCCCAAGCGTGGCAACACTACAACATGCTACACTCAAATCTCGGTCCCAAACCTCACACAGCTCCAGCTCTACATAACCCATTCCAAAGCTTACCCGGAACTCAAATTTCTTACTCAACCCACCGCAAACACCTGTGAGTCTGTCCCTCCCATCTGCAGGAGTAACAAAGCATCACCCCAAAGCTCACTTGCTCTTCAAACGTTATCCCCAACTGTGTCCTAGTCTCAGTCATCACACAGCCCTGTGATAGAACGGCACCCCCCGCCCATTTCTGCTATTAAACTTCTTGCTATACAGATACTGATTATAATTAAGATATTTGTTAATATTGTGGACAGGTAATGACCATACCATCCATACCCACGTGAGGAGGGAGGTAGGGATCTCCTGAGCAGGGAGACCGTTATGCTGCCAATGAATACGAAGAGAGACATTCTCTGCTGCCACATAAGAGGCAAGGTGCTTAGGAGATCCTTCCCTTGGCAGAGGGCCAGGACACCAGGCTTATGCCTTTAAAGCAGGCCAGCCAGACAGCTCTTGGAGGTGGAAGGGACTGCAATAGCAGGGTTAACAAGCCCTGCCTTATAAACTGGACTAGGTGTGCTTCTAGTGTTTTCCTGGCTCACATTTCCTTTTTTGTCCCTCCTTAATCAGTCAAGTGTTTTTGAAAGCTCAGGCTGTCCCTGTATAAGTGTGATTGTGATTCGTACATGACAGATTAACCAAAAAACTAAACCAAACCAGTTGCCATGGAGTCAATTCTGACTCACAGCGACATCACGTGTTTCAGAATAGGACTGTGTTCCATAGCTGTGATTTTATGGAAGTAAATCCCCAGGCCTTTTGTCTAAGCACCCATAGGTGGACTCAAAATCTACTGGTTAGCAGCCAAGTGCTCAACCGCTGGAGCCACCCAGGGGCTCTACGTAACGGATCACTGAATGTAAATTAAGAAACTCAGTTGTGATGGGGACACTCCTTTAAATTTACAGAACAAATTCACATTCCATATAGCAGTTCACATACACTGTGTCTCATGACACTGGCTACAATTTACCACAATGCAACATCTCCCCTCCCACTTCCTCCCAACAGTTACCTCTTTCCTGTACCCATCCCTCCATGCACTCCTGCCCCCCTGAGTTGTCTGCCTGTGCATAAACAGCCCTTCTTTCTCCCAAGATTATTCTAAGGAGTTGTATCTACCTCAGGTAAATGTTCACTTCATATTCCTGTCTTTTGTTTGGCTGGAAGCCACAGGTGTGGGTTCAGTTCCAGACCTGAAGGGCAGCTAGGGGCCTTATTCTCAGAGCCACCAGGCTCTATCTGACCAGCAAACACCCTTTTTTTCCAAATGATTTTGAGTTTTGTTCCACATTGTTCTCCCTTTCTATCCAGGGTGTCCTACATAGAACCCCCTCCGAGTGGTTGACAGTGGTTGCTGGGTACCATCTAGTTCTTCTGGTCTCATAATTGTATAGGCTGTGATTTGCATGGTGCATCAGTCACTAGGACTAATTGTTTCCAAGAATCTTTGGTTTTCTTCTTTCTTTTTTGCTCTGGACGAGGAGAGACCCATCATTGCATTTAGATGGCTGCTTGCAAGCTTTTAAGATCCCAGTCGCTACTCGCCAAAGTAGGAGGTGGAACAATGTTTTGTATAGTACGTTATGCCAACTGAGCTTGACATCCCCTGCGACTATGGGATGGGGACCCTCTTTAAAAAAAAAAAAGAAGAAAAGAAATCTAGTACAGGGGAGTTGAGGGACAAAGGGGATAAGCCAGGATGCCCCAGGCAGTTAGCCCTCCCCTAGTACACTTCCTTCCTTTTGAGTTAAAAGCATAAAGGCTCTGAGTTTAAGTTGTGTTTTGATGTTGGTTTCTTAAACACAGGCAGTGTTCCCTTTATACCCCAACTCCAAGTTGGAGCTATGGCTTGTTTGCTGTGTTACCCAGTCTAGTCATTCCAACTCGGGAGCCCATCAATGCCAATCTCACCCTTAAATCTTCAGTGCCCTTTTCCTCATATCCCCCGTGGCTCTCAAATCTGTCAAGTATTTTCTCAACTCCCTACTTGGGTTATCCAAAGGCACACTGGCTGTATCTCACCCCGATTCCTCTCACCTCCAGGTTTTAAGGATTTGTTCCCAAACCATGTTTACTCAATTTCATCCCCAAAGCTGTCAACCCAGCCTTAACCACAGCCAGGGAGTCCAGGTCCTGGGTGGTGCAAATGCTTAATGCATTCCACTGCTAAGCAAGGTTGGCGGTTTGACTCCACCCAGAAGTGTCTTAAGGAACTCTGGTGGCATAATGCCAAAGGCATTTGACTGCTAACCAGAAGGTTGGTAGTTCAAACCCACCAGCTGCTTCACGCAGAGTTATTGCCTTACTTCCATGAAGATTTACGGTCTTGGAAACTCAATGGGGATTTCTATGAGTCAGAACTGACTCAATGGCAGTGAGTTTAGTTTGAGAGGTACCTTCAAAGAAAGGCCTGGTAATGTACTTCCGAAAAATCAGTCAAAAATTGGAATGAAATCAAGGGCAACTGCTTTAATCACAGTCAACTCTGAGGCTCTAGATATTCCCAGTCTCAGGTCAGTCAAATCTCCAGCTTCTCAAACCTAATACCTACGTGCCTTGATCTGAGGCACTTACTTTTTTTAATCTGGACTTCATTTAGTCTAATCAACCTCCAAATCTGTCACTCCACTCCTGCCATCCCCCAAACAGTAATCTACCTTTTTTCCCCCAAAATGTCATTGATTCCCAAACTGTTCCTATTAAAATCAAATAGGCCATCTCTATCACCCCAATGGGCTCACCCATCCTTACCCACCCACCATCCTGTACGCCTCACCCTTCCATCTCCCTCATTCCCCAATTCCCCTTTCCAAACCATCCTTACTTCAAATTTCTTCTCAAACCTGTAAACCTTGTACTCCAGCATAGTCCGAACAATGCAGGCACTTTCTCGTTCCCCACACCATGCTCACCCATTCCTTGTACTCCAGCGCCCGCCATTCCACAGACCTTTCCATCTGCAGCCCTAAACCCCAGCCCTCACCCAACCTCACTCCGTCAGCCACAAAAAGTCAGCTCCCAATGCCTTCAATTCTCATCTGAGGTACTTCTAATTCCACAGTTTACTCACTCCAATTTCTCTCCCAAACCTGCAGTCTGTGTTACTGTAAGTGAAATCTTAATCCTGGAAGTAAAGCTGCCGACCATCACCCCCAAATCAGAACCAAATGCCAGTGTGGGGCTTGTCCTCCCTGCCTCAGCCATTTCCAAATCCCAGTCACAATTAGATTCTAGTCAGGTGCTCTGATTCCCTGCCTGTTTATCTCCCCATTGCCTGTCATACTCCTGGTCACATCTGAAAATCTATTACTGCCCCATTCATCAGACCCCAGATTTCAATTACTCCCATTCTCAAGTCCCTCCACTCCAAATGCATCTCCAAATCTTTCAGTTCAAGTCTGCTGTTGTTAGGTGCCGTTGAGTCGGACCCCACTCATAGCGACCCCTCCTTGGGTTTCTGAGGCAGTATCACTACGGAAGTAGATTGCCCGACCTTCCTTCTGAGGAGTGGCTGGTGGGTTTGAACCTCCACCCTTCTGGTTAGCAGTCAAGTGCCTGAGGCACCACGCTACCAGAGCTCCCAGTTCAAGTCTAAGGAGAGTAAAATCTGGCCTAAATCCAAACCTCAAAACTTCAAATCTTGGTTGAATCTCCATCTCAACTTTTACCACTTACTCTTTCGGTTGGAAAATTCTACACTGTATCTTCAGATATCAGTCCAGGCCCTAACCAGCTAACCAGCTCCATCTAAGCAGTGCCTATCTCAGGTACGCCCACCTAATTCTACCAAATGTATCCTCTCCATCCTACCCCATCCCCACTTTTTCATCTCAAACTCCCTTTCCCAAGCAGCCTATTTCATCTGCAACTCATTGCTGGCCGCCACCAAATATGCAGTGCCCTGTTCATCCCTTCATTATGGAGCCATCCCTATCTTGGTCTGTTTCTGCCAACCCCATCCTATCCCGCCACCTAAGTCCCCGCAACCCCTTGCACCAAATTCCAATATTTTCATATCCCTTCAGCTCCATCTCCCCCAGACTCCAATCCTGACTTCCATTTTCTCTCCCGAATACGTCATCCCTTTCCCCCTAAAAGCCTCCTCCACATTCCCCACTTCAGACACATCGCCACTACTCCCCTCCCCCTATGCGTCGCTTTATGTTCCCCTCCCCCTAAACGCGTCACCCCGTCTCCTCCTCCCACCAAATCTGTAGTCGCCATCAAATCCAGAGACCCTGTCCCCTGCAAGTTGGCAGCTCGCTCCTGCTAAATTCTTTGCTTTTGCCCCCTTACACCAAATTCCATCACCATTAAATTCAATACTCCCCTCCCTCTTTCCCAAGTCTGAAAGCACTTCCACTCCTCTAAATTTCTGACCCTCTACCCCATTTCTTTGTCCCCAAAACCCGCTTTATATCTGTCTCTATACAGTCCAGAGAAGAATATAAACCCGCTCTCCTCTACCCCAAATATGACCCCTCTCATTCTCTAAATCCTTTGCCTTAGCCCTAATCCCTCTCCACACCATTCCCCAAACTTCTTGCTCTTCCCCCAATGCTACTGCTCCCTCTCCCCAAATTCACTGACTCTTGCCTTCTACCCTAAATCCTATGCCTCCATTCCTTCATCCCCGTAACCGGTCTCCCCCATCCTAGCGCTCTTCCCCTCGAGGCCCCAAAACTCCTCGCTCCTTCCACTCTCTCCCAAATCTTTCGTTCTGAACCTCTTTGCTCCTCTCCTGTACCCCCAAACCCGTCACCCCTGCACCTCAAAACCCCTACCCTCTTTGCTCCTCTTCCAAATCCGTTGTTCCCACCATCTCGTTTCCCCAAACCTGCCGTCCCCGTTCCTCTCCCCAAATCCGCCACCATCGACCCTCCCGCCCCAATTCTCCTCTAGATCCAGGCCTGTCACCTTCATAGCAGCCTCCACCTCCCCAAGGCGTCCCAGGCTCCTACCTGGATGAGCAGCTTCACGTAGAGCAGCGGGTGGCTGAGCGCTGTCACGCCCGCGCCCAGCGCCACGAAAAGCGCCTCCGTGGTCGGGGTGTTGTCCCCGGAGCCAAGGCCCCCAGATGCGCTATCCATCCTGCGG